GATCCTGCTTGCCATGCCCAAACGCAAAAGTAGCCCACATCCCTTCAAGATTGCCATCGACGACGTGGTCCTCGATGCCACCAGCGATGCTATGCCGCACGTGGCGGGGGCGCGATTTTACCATGGACCTCAGGCGACATGCGGCTTTTGCATGAGGGCATTCTTCGCGCGGTTCTGTTGATTTTGTAGTTTCGAACCTATGTGGGTGGTTCTCAAAATTATGGTCCCTTTTTGGGTCCCTATCTTCATACGGCACCCAATTTTTAGGGTACCCAGTTCGGGACCATAATTTTGACAACGTCGGTGACGGGTTTTGCATTGGACCTAGGGCCTGTGTTGCCAGAAAGCATTCTGAGGCTTCGCTTTCAGACCTAGGGGGCATGGGGGGATGGCTATCCCAGAGAGCCCAATAACCCTGAATTTAGGAATATAGCTTAAATCAGAATATGAATCTCCTATTAATTTAAGGTATATTCCTTAATTCAGGGGTATTGGGCTCTCTGGGATATCGTAGGCCCTAAACCCAAAAACCCCAGTAGGGCCTCCAGGCCTTGCGCGCTAAGCTGAGACACAAAGTTGTAAGTTCTCGAGTTGCTTCTGCGTTTCGTCTGTCCGTCTTCATGATAGGATCGGTCAGGCCCGGAGACTCCAATATTCCTTAATTAAGGAATATACCTTAAACTATAGTAGGATCCCCTAATATGATTTAAGGTATATTCCTTAATTAAGGCATATTGGAGTCTCTGGGCAGGGCGCCTCAAACCAGATGCCTCCACTTGAAGCGACAGCGTCTAAGCGTTACCACATTTCTACTCCCTCCCCCCGCCAAGTTTGGTGTTTAAGGCTTGGGCTTTTCCGGAAACGAAGGGACGCTATGCCTTCATCCTAAGCCCAGATAACCTCATGTGTTAAAGGTTTACATAGTGAGTTCACAATCAGGACGCCTAGAAAGGTAGGCCCTTCTGGGTTCAGGTAAACGCTAAACTCGCAACCTTCTCTAGATCCCCAATGCCGGATTATACCCTAAACCCTAAACCTATACACGTGCTAGAAGCCCATCGAGGCTTCCCACAGCAACGGAGTGGTTACCGCCATAATATCGTTCCCAGATATGTGAGGCCCCAGAAGCCCCCCCTGAGCCCCTAAGCTCTAAAGCACTAAACCCTAATCCCTTAAGCCCTAAGCCCCCCCCCTGAACCAATAGCAGCCCTAGGCCCTAATCCCTGAAGCCCTAGACCCCCCTGCACCCATAACTTCAGAGCAAAAGATTCCCAGAGACTCCAAGATCCCTGAATTAAGGAATATACCTGAAGTTGTAGTAGGATCCCCTAATATGATTTAAGGAATATTTCATAATTAAAGGGTTTTGGAGTCCCCTAAACCCTAAACCCTATAGATCCCTTATAGATCCCTTAAAGGAACCCTAGGTATATTCCTTAATTAAGGGATGTTGGAGTCTCTGGGCTCTTTGGAAGGGAGTCTGCGAGTTCGGCGAGTTCGCATCGAGCTTCCAGCCAGCCGGCCCTACACTTTCGTGGAGATGAACCCTAAACCCTAAACCCTAAACCCTAAACCCTAAACCCTAAACCCTAAACCCCTAGGCCCAAAACTCCGAAGGCACAAGAAAGCTTCTTTAGGGTTTAGGGTTTCAGGGTTTAGGATCGAGGGTTTAGGGGTTTAGGGGTTGAGGGGTTTAGGGGTTTAGGGGTTTAGGGTTTACCCCTAAAGCCTTAATAATACCTGCACCCCTGCACCCCTGAACCCCAAAGCTCCCAAACCCGAGGCAGCCAGATTTCGCCTTGCTTTACATGCTTCACGATGGGAAGGGCAACGTTGTGATCAAGGTGGGAGGGTTTAGGGTTTAGGGTTTGGCTGCGACAAGATTTTGTAAGGTATTCTGCAGGGTTTATCATAGTCCCCGAACCCTACAGTAAGCCCTTAAACTTGAAATCGTTTTACTGAGCCCGACCAAACTCAGTATTATAGGGCTTGCGCCCTTTGGACCTAGCGGTTTGAAGGTTTAGGGCTTAGGGGTGGGGTTATATGTAGGGTCGTCCGAATTAAGCTCCTTTTTGAGACACACAAAGCTCTGCTTCTACCCTACTTCCTGAGACGCCCGACCCTCCAAGTAGTCCCGAAGTTTTCACAACCCCAAACCCTAAACCCAAAACCCGAAGCCCTAAACCCTTAACCCTAAGCTCTAAATTAAACCATAAACACTAAAGTCACTACGGGGTTCCTCATTGTAACTATAGTATAACGACCCCCAAACCCATTCTAATTATTAAGGCCCCTACATTATTTATCCTGAAGGAGTCTTTGACTCCAACTGTCATCGCCACCGGGAAGACCACTGATCATAAGCTGGAAAATCTGGTGGAGTCTCCCGGCTACCCCTTTTTGTCTCAAGCTTCTTCTGAATCGGATGCTTTGGGTTTAGGGTTAAGGGTGTAGGATTTAGGATTTACTTGGAAGTTCATGGCTAGTTGTAAGTGGGGTTATAATTTATAGTTAAGGTGACTATGGTTATAACCCCTATCAGAAGACTTAAAACCCCATTTACAACTACTCATGAACCTCCAAGTAGGCTTTAGGACATGGGCATTGAGGGGATTTCTGCGGGCCCCAAGCTCCAACACACCTTGCTATCGCCAGCCCCTCCGTACCACCCCCGAAGCCCTGCAGGCTTTCCCCGAAGCCCTCGGCATATGCCTCAAACCCTGAACCCTAAACCCCAAACCCCCAAGAAGTTGTACACTTTGGTAGGACCCTTATAGAGCCCAAATGCCTAAACCCTAAGCCCCAAGCCCCAAACCCCCAAGAAGTTGTACACTTTGGTATATTTAGCCCAAAGGCCTAAACCCTAAACCCTGAACCCACACCGAGGTACCAGGTGAAGGAGGACAAGCTCTCGCACATGAAGGTCTACTGGGGTGAGCCGAAGCTTTGGGACTCGCTCTTCGTGGGGGGCTCGTAAAAATGAGGGGGCGTATCTTGTCTCTTATTGTTCCTTTAAAGGGCTACTGTAAGGGTACTATAAGGGTTCCTTTAAGGGGCTCTATGAGGGGTATTTTATCTAGTATATACATATATATATATATATATATATATATATATTTAGTAGAGTTCTTGTGGGGTATCTTATCTGGGAGTTTCCAAGAATGGGGGACCCTAATAATAGAGTACCCTAGATAGTAGGATCATTACTATAAGGACCCCAAAATAAGGCAGGAAACACCTATCTAGTAGAGTTCTTGTGCCGTGTATGTTACGATGTATGCAGGGGTGCCATATTTGCTCGAACCTCCCCCCTCAAATCTGGATGAAAGTGCTCGGAGTAAAGGCAGCTACGCTGAGCCCGGGTGCATTGAAGTGCTCCATGGCTTGTGACCCCTAAGCCCTCGACCCTAAATCCTAAACCTTAAACCCTAAACCCTAAATCCTAAACCCTAAACCCTAAACAGAAAACCCAATTTCCAAAGCCTCCGGGCAAGAGGCCCACGCGAAGGGTACATCCCGCGGGAGACCTCGTCTCGCACCTGAAAGGTGACGACACCTCAAGCAGCTTCTAACCACCCGGAGACTCCAATATCCCTTAATGAAGGAATATACCTGAAGTTATAGTAGGATCCCTAATATGATTAAAGGAATATTCATGAATTAAGGGGTATTGGAGCCTCTGGGCAGAAGCTTTGTTTCGGAGCTGCAGCTTCTAGTGGGTTCCCGTTTCGGAGGGCATGTCAGGCCTGTAGAAAATGCAGGAAAATGTGCCGAGTCCTTACACCTGCGGTTATTACGTGCTCTGCGCGGAGTTCCTTGGCTTTCGAAGCCACAATCGCTCACGCAATCGGTTAAAAAGTGCTTCTGCCTAGACCCTATACAGAAATTAGTTCTTTTTCGGTGAACTATAGTTTCTCATGGGGTCCCGGCAACCACAAAAGAGCGAGGATCGCATCGCCCTCGCTTTCCTCGGCGCAGTAGGATGGGTTTAGGGATGGGGGCTTAGGGTTTAGGGATGATGATGATGATGACGACGATGACGGTGATCATGAACATGAAGACGATGACGACCAAAATGGTAATTTCGTGGTAATGGCTATCACGTTGCAAAAGAACAAGCAGACTAACATTTTGGAGTTGACAATGATCGAGAAGATGAGGCTCGCCACGACGATAGTTGTGGTGTTGATTTTCTATTTACTGAAGATGATGGCAAGCATTAAGATATTGCAACCCGTGGTGATGTTGGTGATGATCCTGGTAATGATGAAACAGCACCCACAGCCTGAGATTGCTGCGGAGCTCAGCAACAATGAGCTTCTTGATTATAATCCTGCAAACTGTCAAGAACATGACCATCGTCCTCAGTGTGTTTAGCCGCGATTTCGAGCAGTTGCACTTCCTACTTCTTCGCGTTGGTGAGGGTCGTCCTCATTCTATCAGACCACCCAACAAAGGGGTCTTTTTCAATTACCACCGCTGTGCCTTAGGACGCCGAATAGCACAACATATAAATCACTATATCCCCAAACATGTCAAACATAGTTCCTCCAAGTAACACGGCTCCCATGTTAGAAGCGTTGAATCCACCCTGCACCCTATTGCATGAGAAAGGTTTAGCTGCTTGGGTTTTGAGATTCAGAGTTTATTGATTTGTATTCGTGGTTTAGGCTTAGGTGTTGTGTTTTCTGGTTTATTTCGGGCGTCTATGGGGCGGGGTGCCCGAAGGCCTGGGTCGGGGGTGCCCGAGGGCTCGAATGTGTATTGTGTATAGGAAGGTAAGGTTTACGGAAAGCACGACTGCAATGTACCTGCAAATCACAATGATAACCCAACGAAGCTCTCTTTGCTGTCCTGTCAGGTTTTCGGTTAGTTGAGGGTTGCAGTATTTGGGGGGTTTAGGGTTAGTTGAGGGTTGTAGTTCGGGGTTTAGAATCTTAGAGCTTAAGGCTTGTCTTAAGCTTTCCAAAACTACCAACGGCTTCACATGGCAGGGTGCCATGGCATTCCTGCCGAGACGCCGTGCCTTGGCCAATAGAGCGGTCTTCTCATTAGCTGTTTTTTCTTAGGGGGTGCTACAGTGTATTCCGCACAGCAGTACAACGAACTACATCATGCGTTCTTGGAGGGTTTCTGGTAGCTTATGCTATCTGATCATCTAGCCATCCCAAACCCCAAACTCTATGAACTTGAACCCGCAACCCTAAACCCTAAACGAAAGCTTAGCTTCTGAGTAGTACGGAATCTTGATGAATTACTAGACTGCTCTTCCTCAGGGTTCCTTATTCGGATTACGATACAGAGGCCGCGTGTTGCAGGCCCATGTTCTGTTTGTTCTTAGGGTGTAGGGTTTAGGTAGGTTACCTCTAACTCTAACCTTTTCGGGTTTATTTCTAGCATTGCACGTGAACGAGGTCCCCCAGTAACAAACCCAGGGGCCCACTTTGCCCCACAGTGAATAGCCAGCATTTTTAGTCGAGGGAGCCTATTTCAATCTGCTCCCTCTGCTGGAGACCGGGTTCACCCAAATAGAGCCCTAAACCGGAAACCCAAAATCCTAAACCCTAAACCCACGAGGCCACAGTTGCAACAGCCTCTCCGAGACTCCAATTCCCTCGCACGGTATTGGTTTAGGGCTCCCGACTATGTTTAGGGTTTAGGGGTCGAGGGTTTAGGGCAAAGTGACATGGTTCCCTAGGGTATCAGGTGGCCAAAACCCTGTTCCCTCTTACTCAGGCCGCTATATTACTTCCTGCAGGTCCGAAGGACCCAGCGATTCGGTTTAGGATAGTAGTTTGGAAGGTTGGGACTTGGGAGAGTTTATGGTTATTAGATACTTGGACCCGTAGGGGTGCCCTATTACACAAGCCTATAGTGCCCTGTACTAGAACCTTACTGTACCCCTTAACGGGACCCTACGCGTAGCACGACCCTTGGCCCCTTCTTCTTCTTTTTTTTTTCAGAACTGGCCGCACGTTTCCTAAATCCGAGAGCCATCGGAACAAAGAACCTGAGGCCCCCCTTCCAAGGCAATGGGTTTAGGGGTTTAGGGGTTAGGGGTTTAGGGGCTTAGGTTTTAGGTTTAGGGGTTTAGGGTTTATGATTTAGGTTTAGGGTTGAGAGTTTAGGATTTAGGGTTTAGGGTTTAGGGTTTAGGGTGGTATGCCTGTTAACTTAGGCCCTGCCATCCACCTTAGAAGCTCCTTCGACGCTTAACAACCTGCTGGGCACCGAAGTCAAGTTGTCCCGAAGCCGATGTAACTCTACAACCCTAAACCCTAAACCCTACCACCCTACTACCCTAAACCCTAAGAAACCCCTGAACCTTCCAAAAGCCATCGCCTTCTCCAGACTCTGAACCTGTAAAATCTAATTGCTAGGAGAGGAATGAATCCGAAAGCCTCGAACAAATCAATGTAGGAATGTTGACCAGGAAACCTGAAACCCCTCACGCCAAAATTCCAACGAAATCCTAACCCTGAGTAGAGGCCAGAGTGTTGGAACATCATTCTCCTCATACCCGTTAGAAAAAGTATTGGGAATCACCGCACGAACCTTCCTAAAGCCATGTTCCAACTTTCTGGGGTTCATTATAGCCCTCCTCGCAGGGCAGAAGATCTTGAACGGGCTCGACTCAAAGACTGTATAGTCTTGATGGACACCCTAAACCCTAAACCTTTGCAATCCTCGCTGAACTACATGATGGTGCTATTGAGTTTGCTGAACTCTCGAGCCGCAATGGCCTGGCTCATGTCGCAGCGCTCTCCCAGAGGATAAAAATCCTTACCGTCCCTGATCCAACGGTGGGGTCCCTCTCAGTGAAGCCCAGACCCTAAATGCTAAGTTCAAGGCCTTCAACCTCTCTATATACTCTAAACCAAAAAGCAAAATCAAAAGCTACCAGTCCGGCTGAGTCAGGCGCTAAAACCTCGACCTTACCTCCTAAATCCCAAAGCCCAAGCACCGGAATCCAACAAATTCCTGGTAACAAGCCTTCGATTCCATTAAGACCAAGCCAAGCCCCCTGAAAACCTTGCAGATCCCGCCGTAAAGGGCCCCCTACTTGGACCAAAGCAAAAGCCCAATCTTGCCCTAAACCCGAATCCCTGCAAGACCCCCAAACCTTAAACCCTGATCCTAAACTTCAAAGGACCCCCATTCGTTGACCTGAATAACACGTCAAGCCATCCCATTTCTCCAATCTACCCAGAGACTCCAATATCCCTTAATTAAGGAATATACCTCAAATAACATGAGGGAACTCACTATACTTTAAGGCACATTCCTTAATTAAGGGATCTTGGCGTCTCTGGGCAAAAACGCCACAAAAATCCTGTGGGTCCGAGGATTGATCCGGGCTGGACGGCCGATTGGCCTGACTTTGCTGGTGGCCGCCAGGGGCCCAAAATTCGGTTTCTGGGGCTTTGTGGATTCGGGATCCTTATTTGGGGGTCCTTGTAATAAGGATCCTACTTTTTGGGGTGCTAGATCTGGGGATTTGTGGATTAGGGCTTAGGGAGTTTACCAAACCCTCAACCCCATACCCTATCGTAGGTCAAAAAAATGAAATGAAATATGGGAGTTTCCGAAATTAGGGGGATCCTTATTTGAGGGTCCTTATAATAAGGATCCTACTATTTAGGGTGCTAGATTAGTGTTTCCGGAAACTCTAACATGAGCAGAAGCCCGCGATGGCGAAGCCCTCCCCCTGCAGCCCTGAGACAGCTGAGACTCTAGATTGAAAGTAGTGCGGTGTGCTGTGTTGAAAGGATCTTCGTAGTTGGGACTTATGTGTAGCGCTCCATTCCCAACTCTAGACTTTGACCTGTAAAGCGCTTTCATATGACGCTTGAGTCTGATCAATTCGCCACGCGATGCAACTTCTAGCGATTCGACCCTCTGCACAAAACCCTTAACCCGAAGTTGACGTTTTGCTTGCTTCACTCCTCTGTGACTTACGATTGCAGAGGAATGAAAAGTATTAGTGATGAGCCGGGCTTCTCGGGTCTTGACGGCTGAGTAACCCCAAGCTTAGGCTTTCCTTTGCTCGAGGCCGCCGCGTGCTGGCAGACTGCCTGGCTGCTTCCACAGACTGTGGGACAGGCCTCCTAGGGGAACTGTACTTAGGGGTACTTAGAAATATTTTTTAGTTTTGGTTATTATAATCCCCAAGAAACAGCTAAAATTAAAATTTTTGCTAGGGTTCCAAGTTCAGTATAGTACAGGGGCCTTAATAATTAGAATAGGGTTCCCTTTAAAGGGCACGTGAACTGATGGGATTTAGAAGGGTAGTATAGTATAGGGGCCTGAGTAATTAGAAGAGGGTTTTGGGGGGGCTCCTTATCATAATTCTAGTATAATATACCCGCAAGCCCTATTCGAATTATTAAGGCACCGAAATAAGTGTAGAAGCTCAAATAACCACGCAATGATGTTCCTTGGGCTTCTTTGTTGTGGTTGAATATGCTATAACCTTCGCAAACAATTTTCTAGTTATTGAGGCCCTTCTTGTCGGTTCCTGGTAGCAGATTTCTGGCAGCTCCAATTCAACTATATGGGAGTTTCCGAAAACAGGGGACCCTGATATAGTCACCCAAACCAGAATAAGATACCCTTGATTTTCGGAAACTCCCATATATTTTGGGGTAGGCCGAAGTTGGGCTGTGGGGTTACGTGTTCGGGTTTAGCATTTATGCAAGGGTAAAAGGAGGGGACCCTTAATAAGGACCCCTAGGTATATACCCTTAATATAGCTATTACATAGGGTCCCCATTAAGGGTCATAATTAGAATAGGGTTCCCTTTAAAGGGTTCCTGAACTGATGGGATCTAGAAGGGTAGTGAATATAGGGGCCTGAATAATTAGAAGAGGGTTTTGGGGGGCCCCTTATCATAATTATAGTATAATATACCCGCAAGCCCTATTCGAATTATTAAGGCACTGAGGTTAGGGGTCCCCATCAAGGGTCCCTCCCTTTCCCCTTTGATTCATGGGCTCTAGACACGTCCCGGAAGGATCTTAGCGTGCTCTGGGTCTGCTGTCTTGCAAACGGTTTTCGTCGGGTTTGCCACGGACGGTCGGGTTTCGGGAAATCAGTGTTCCCTTTTTGTGGGGGCCCCTTGTATGAAGACTCGGTTTAGTTTAGAGTCGATGACGGGGTTGCGTACTTTCCGAAGTTCCCAAGGCAAGCACTCACTTGGGCAACTGTGCCACATAAGCGTACGGCAATCGTGTTCGTCTAGGATTTGCTTGTGTGAGTTTATGGGTAGGTATGTGTTTTCATGGTTTGGGGTTTCCGTGTACCGAGGGATGGAAGCCGCAACGGTCGTAGGCCCTGCTGCCTTGCGAAGCTAAAGCTAAAGGCCAAATCCCTAAACCCTGCTTTCCCGTGCTGGGATTCTGGAAAAGCCTTGAAATCGTACCCCAAATAGTAGGATCCTGATTATACGAACCCCTTATTACTATAAGGTGCGGAAGAAGGGGTTCAAAAAACACAACCAAACACTGAGCCCTTGACGGAAGCCGGAGGGCTTCCTCGTTTCTGAGGAAGCCATCCCCAAGAAATCAAACCCGAAGCTCGCCACCATGACTTCACCTAAACCCCTAAAACCCTAAACCCTAAGCCCTTAAACCCTAAACTCTAAACCGAAACATCGTTTTTGTGAAAAGGTTCCTGGAGCCCCAAAGTTTCCAGCGATCCTCGAAGTGTCTTAGGGGAAAAAGAATGCTTTAAGGGGTTGGCGCAGGGAGACTCCATGATCTGATGGTCATGAACCATGCCTCAAATAGTTATAAGGACAGGAAACGCTAGTAATTCACTCTTGTTGCAATATTGTATATACACGTACAGACAGTCCTATGCAATATTACATCACATATGATTCTACAGCAGTGATGAAGAGGTTTCGAGCTTGCGAAAGCATGCCTCATGCAGCTTCGTATCACCCTTTGGGAAGGACCTCTGAACTCGAACTATTCATAGCCTTATCAGGGAGAAACATCTTACATACTACAGGAACCCTAATAACTATCAATACTATTTTGGGGTTCCGTATAGTTTTAGTATAATAGACCCCATCAGGGAACCGTCGTCAGAATGCAACGCTTTCATTAGGAAACTGCAAAAACACCACTTTCAATGCAAAAACCCTAACTTCAGATGCAAGCTGTCGAAACCGCGCAATACCCTGAATCTTGCAGCACGAAACCCCTTCCACAAGGAACCCCAAAATTCATCCAAAACCCCAAACCCTAAACTTCAATCAGGAACCCAAAATTCAGCCACCTGCCCTCGAAAGGCGCCAGGCGCCTCGCGGCGCTCGGCACTCCTTGGGGCTGCAGCTGCTGCTTTGGCGGCTGGGGCCTTGCAGACCGGGTTTTGGGTTCACTTAGGGGTACTTAGAAATAGTTCTTAATTTTTTGGTTACTATAATCACGAAAAAACAGCTAAAATTCTATTTTTTGCTAGGGTTCTAAGTTCAGTATAGTTCAGGGGTGGCCGGAGAGTGCATGGATTCAAATCCTTCTCCCAGTTGGCACTATTTCCTTTTTCGTGGTCTGGGAGTCTTGAGAAACAAGCAAAGTACCAACAAGGCAGCCATTCTTACTGGGATCCTGGCGCAGGTAGAAACCGCAGGTTAGCTTTAAGAGATGGGGTATATGGTTATTCCGCATGGGGTGTCTTCAAGTCAAGCGGTGTAGGTTAACCGGGTAGCCTAGTACATAGGCAACTGGCCTTTTAGGACAAGCCCTAGACCTAAACTCTAGACCCTAAGCCCAAACCATAGACGGGGAATCGGATCATGGCGGGTTTATCTCAGGAGCTGGTGTAATATCGGGGCCGAAACAATTACCAAGACTATTTTGGGGTTCTCTATTATATTTATGGTATACTGGGCCCCAAAACCCTAACCGCTCAGAAGCGCTCAGCCCCCAACTCCTGAACCCTTCTCCTCTGCCGCAAGTAAGTAAACACGGAAGCTCCTTTAGGGTTTTAGGGTTTAGGGACTAGGGTTTAGGGTTTACCTGAAACCTCTCCTTCAGCCCATGCAGCTGCAGAATTTTGTGGTTAGTATGTTTTCCTGAAGCGGGCTACTATGTAGGTGCTTGAGTCGGCGTGTTTCACTACATCGGTACTCGGACCTCTGCATTACAGTAGAAGCCAGAAAGTTGGAATATCATTATCGTAACCCCTTTATGGTAAATTGTAGGGGATCCTACCATTAATCCATATTCCAACTTTCTAGCTTTTACCTTATTGTATTGGGTATCTGGAAAGCCGGGTTAGCTTCTCCTCGGTCGACGGCTGCATCGACTTTCTCATTCCAGGGTCTCGGTTGACGCCTGAAATTCGACGGGTCCCCGCATCAGCGCTTAAAACTATTGTCAAGGGTAAGGTGTGGGGCAATGTGGTGTTAGAGGCTTAGGCTTCTGATTGCTTTAGGCTTTCGGGTAGGAGTCTAGTGATCCAACCCCTAGGTACAAGCCGTATACCAAGGTGCGCAGGCAGTGGCCTCATCAACGCATGGGCTTCCGAAAGTCAAACCTTGCAGGATAACGGATGAGTTCTCGAATGTAGAGGTCTAGTGCTATGAAGGGTCCCTATAACAAAAACCCCAAGCCCTGAGCACTCTCTTCTGCCCTCAGCTTCATGAAGCAGAGCTTACAGTGGTCATTTCGGTGAGTGTAGGGGGGTCTTGTTGGGACAATTGGTGGCATAAAATTTGGGGGCTTATGTTGGCGGTACTAGTAACAAAAAGTCACACCCTAAACGCCGCTAGCCAAGAGCTCCTTTCTCTTCGGTCCGCCTCCAGTAGTCCTGGTATTCCATAGGCTGATTGGGAGTTTACGAGAATGATGGTATATCAGGGAGTGAAGCCTGACCCCCACAAAGGGAACCCTTTGTTGGTGTCAGCCTTTCAGCACCAACTACTTCCGTTTCGACAACCCATAAAAGTCAAAAACGAAAATCCAATCAAGTCCTGAGACTAAGACCTAAGACCCCAGGAAGGGAAACCCTCAACCGAAACCCGCAACCGTATACAACCGTCTTATAGAAACATGATCGTTTCGCTTAACCCTAAACCCTCATAGACGAAGCCCCATATCCCTGCGCGCTTTTCCAGGCGCCCTCCTCCGTCCGTGCCTTCGGGGACGTGAAGATGCCCATGCCCCTTCCTTACCAATATAGGGGCCCTCATAAATACCGATACTATTTTGGGGGTTCCTTATTCTAGTCATTCGTATAATGGGCCCCAAAACCCTATCATAATTATTAATTAAGCCCCCTACACTACGGGATCCTTAAAGGGATCTATGAGGGTTTCTGCAGGGTTTCGATAAAGATCCTTTATCATCAGGGCGCCGTACTATTCGTGGAACTTTAAAATAAGGGCCCTAATTTCGAGAACGACCCGCACAGAGTCTCTAAGGCTCCCTTGAAAGGGTCCTTTAAGTGAAATTTGGTGTTTAGGGTTTAGGGTCAGTTTAGGGTTTTAGGGTTTTAGGGGTTCAGGGTTTTAGGGTTTTGGGGGTTTCGGGTTTAGGGTTTAGGGTTTTAGGGGTTCCGGGGTTAGGGTTTCAGGGCTCCTTCAAGTGTCAGAGTTGAGGGGATACTACATAAGGGTTTCTTCGAAGGTTTGGGGTGTAATATAGAAGCCTCAACAATTACCAATACTATATTGAGGGTTCCCTGTTATAGTTGTACTATAAAGCGGGCCCCAAACCCTATTCTGATGATTAAGGCCCCCTATCTTAGAGCTCTTTGAAGCGGGCTTGATTACAGGGCTCCTTTAAGGCATCTATCGGGGTTCTATGGCGAGTTTAGGCTTCAGGCCCTACAGGGTTTATTTAGGCCTGAGTAACGAGGTTTCGGGATGCAGGGGGTTCAGGGTTTTGAGCTTCGGGGATTTAGGGGTGTTGCAGAGTTTGGCCCTTCTTCGGGTTCAGGGTTTTGCTATTTCAGGTAGGTGTCAGACAAACCTTGGGCCACCAGCCCATACGTTTCATGTATAGTCAAAACTTGTACATACGAACACGACCCTAAACTCCTCACCCTACAGCCACCCTCGTCTAACACTTGAGGCTAGTGTACCAGGTATGTCCACGCATCCTTTGGTGAAGCAGCCCTTCGGCAACTTCCAGCTGGGGTTTAGGGTTCAGGGTTTAAGGTGATGTGGCTGTTCCAAGGGTAAAAGGAGGGATAGGTATATACCCTTAATATAGCTATTATATACCCATCATATAGCCCATCATACGGTAGGGGTCCCCGTTAAGGGTCCCTCCTTTTCCCCTTGGAGATGTGGCGCCACCTGATCGGACCAAGGGGTAACTCTTCAAGCAGCTGTGTGCTCAGCCATGTCGGTCTTGCTCCTTGTGAAACTCCTACGAAGGATGTAGAGTCCTAAACCCTAACCACTAGACCCTAAACCCCTAAACCCTATACCCTAAACCCTAAACCCAAACCTAAACCCTAAACCCTAGCCCCAAAATCCTAACCCCTAAACCCTAAACCCTGTTGGCCGCATACAACCAGTGCTTCTCATAGCCCTGAACCCTGACCTTCCGGCTGCTGAGGTCCAACGTGCGATGGAAGGAGGTGCAGTGCAACCCGGACAAAGGCGTCGCACTGAAGTTTTGGATCTGGGGGCTCTGGAACTAAACGAGCTTTTTTGTCTTTGTATGTAGATGTATGCATATATATATATATAATTACACTTAAATGTAAACAAAAAAGTAAGTAAGTAAACAAGTATATATATATATAGATACATATAGATGTATATGTATATGTATATGTATATGTACATGTATATGTACATGTATATGTATATGTATATGTATATGTATATGTATGTGTATATGTATATGTATATGTATATGTATGTGTATATGTATATGTATATGCATATGCATATGCATATGTATATGTATATGTATATGTATATGTATATGTATATGTATATGTATATGTATATGTATATGTATATGCATATATATATATATATGTATATATATATATATATATATACATATATATATATATATAGCATCATATATATGCATGTATGTATGTATTTATGTATGTATGAATGTATGTATGTATGTATGTGATGGGCCGTGAAGACGACCCCAATCTGTGAAAGCCGTTTGTGATCGTGATGATTGCTTGTCCCCGCGGCCATTCTCATCGAGAATTCGAACATGCCTCAGACTGTCCTCCTACAGATTCACACCAGAGCGACAGAAACAGTTCCAGAGTCATGAACTTCACTGAAGCATCGCATGTCACACCTTACGCTCAGAGTCCAAAGTCACAAGTTACGACCCCCCATAGCTTCGGTTTAGGGTTGAGCATCCAGAGCCAAAAGAACAAGTTGTGTGGTGTCGGTTCTGGTTCTGGTCGCTAAAGCCCCTTTCAGTAGCTGTAGTTCACCCTGCACTGAAGCTGGTGGTGCTTGAAGGGCTCCCAATCTGTGTGGATGTCAAAATTAGGGTCCCTTTTTGGGTACCCCTAAGTATAAGGTGCCGTATTATATTAAGGACCCCAAAAAGGGACCCTAATTTTGACAACCACCCATCTAGACTCCCTGATCCGGTACAGTAAACCCTCAAACCCATGAGCTCTGAACCATCTCGGAAGGCTTTTTCTTCCTAACAGGGGCTTCGGAGCCATGCAGGGAGGCTTCCTGGAGAAAGCCATCACGAAGGAGGTCCCTGTGAGGGCGTATCGTACATGATACGGTTTCCTTGTTATGGTAAGTAAACTATTCATTGGGTTTTGCCCAATGAACTTGCTGGACTACGATTACATACGGGTGGTTGTCAAAAATAAGGTCCCTTTTTGGGCCTAAATATTAGGTGCCGTACTATATCAAGGACTCAAACAGGGACCGTAATTTTGACAACCACCCACATACAGGGCAGAACTTACAATACTATGATGTCTTTACCATTTTTGTACCCGTTGGATTCTGGCTTTGTACCAACCTACTACCTGGGGGCTTTTGAACATTGAAGCATTACCTTACACGGTAAATTGTAGGATTCTTATTCTGATCCGTGTTCTCAGAACCCTTAAAGGAAAGGACCTCGTATGCCAAGAAGCTCCGGCGTAGGCATCTCAGCGTCGAGGATGACAGCGAAGCATACGATTGAAACCCGATTATTTCTATCAGGGCCCGCTATTTAAATGACCAAAAATATAAATTTGCCCCGAGGCCCCATTCTAACTCTTAAGGCCCCATATGATAACTACTGCATGATATACCCCAAGGCCCTAACATACTGTTAAGGCCCCACTTTGAGAGCCAGGCCACGGAACGGGTGAAGAGCACGCCGTCCGGGAAGAAGGAGCTACGATTTTGAGGGGTTTTGAATGTATAGAGATTATATATGCCATAAGTCCTAGAGCCTGCAACCTGAGCCCCTAAGGCTGGAACCTGAATCCGATCTCAAAGCCCCGGCAAATATGGAAATCTTAAGGTTGCCACCATGACGTCAGGCGTGGCCCCTTAATTCAAGTGAGGGAGTGCGAGGGGCTTGTATGGAAGTTCTTGTACGGGGCTGTTACGGTGCCCATAAGGCCAAAAGAGGGGCCTGCCGCGATTGGACTCTCCTGCGGATGTTGTTGTCCTTCCTTGTTTATTGTGTGATCGCTATGCACATGGGTCGTCAGCTCCCGACTCAGATTCTGTGCGCTTGATACGTATGTGTATATATATATATACACACATACACATATACATACATATATATCCATATATATATACACACACACACATTTCCAACCGGCTCTGCACGACATTGTCGCTGCTTTGGTTGCCAAAGTCGGGGTCTGCGGGCCGGGTGTCTCCTTGGGCTTTCAAGATCGGAGGTTTGCAGGGCGTTGGGTCTTAGGGTATGATGCTATACACTGCAGTTCCGGAGTGTAGGGTTCCGATCTTTCGATTCTTAAGATTTGTTTGAAAATAGGGCTTGTATAAGAAAGGTAAGTACACGTAGTTTAAAGTCCCGATGCAATCCTGAATAGGCGAAGCCCTAAACCCTTCACCTAACGCCGCACCACGTCAGTGCTAACACTGAAGACCACATGCCGAACCTGGAAAACAACACCCTGTCTCAATATCGCTTTTGCAGCTATTGCGGACAAGGTTGCAGGAGCTTGTGTGTTTGAAACAGGCCTAGGGGGTTTGTGGTCTAGGATTGAATAGACTCATGAAGCGTCCCTAAGTCCCACGCCCACAACCCCAACGGCCCAGACCCTGACACTTACAAAGCCAACACCCAAACCTTGTTTACCAAAATCCTAAGCAGGAGTGGGATGAGAAGACGCTGGATACGACTGTGAAGGTCCTTGAGGAGATCCTCAATGCTACTCATCTGAGTTCACCAGAAGGTCTTGAGACCCCATGCCGCTTTGATGTTGTTTTTTCTGGTTGCAGTTGCTTGGCATGTTTGGACGGCTGGACGACGGCTGGGTGCAGGGTATTCCTTAACCCCAAGTAACCTACCTTTTTCAGGACTTATATAAAGAAATCATATTAGGGAACCCTAAAAAGGGTAGGTTCCTTAGGGTCCAGGTTGGGCTTGGAATATTCTGGTTTTCATCGGCTTCCCGGGGCAGATCAGAGCCCGCACATGTCGAGAAACTCCCAAGGCCTACATTGCACAACCCAAGTGCCTAGTTGTAGAGTAGGTAACCTTTAACCTTTTTTGGGTAGTATACTATACTATAATAGTCCCTACATAATCCCAATATACCCAAAAAGGTTAAGCTCTAGTTCCCCATGATACCCAAGTAGGCAAGAGCCTTTAAGATTCTGTCAGCTCTTCTCTTTCACATCATCCGCGGCTCATGACCCATGACTGATAGGAGAGTCTGTTATCGCATTCTCAACAAGTGTGAATCTAATTGACCAGTAGGCTCCTACATGTTAACAACAAAGAGGAGGACAGCCCTTCTGCAACACTGCACAACCATGTTGACTGTTTAAGGGTCCAAAGGGCTACGCAGGTAACGTTTGAACGCTGAAGGTACCGAATCGAAAGGCCGCGTTGTTCCAGCACTTGGACCCTTACCCTAAACCCCAAGATCAACCCCCAAGACCGTCACTGACCCTTAGGGGAGTCGTAGCCGCAAGTCGGGAATCATAGGCGATTATGAGGCCCCCATACTAGGCTCCGTACGAAACCCTCCCTAAGATAAATCCATCCAAACTCCAGGAAGCCCTCACAATCCCAAAAACAAAGCCAGTCCTATGAACGTCTTACTAAGAGCCCGAATTCTTACCCTAAGCCCCAAACCCTAAAGCCTAAACCCTAAACCCGAAGACTTGGCACATTGGCCCTTCGAGTAAAGCAGCCTCGAACCAAGGAGCGCAGTCGGAGGGCCAAGAACGACCTGGAACGCCGTCTCCGCTCAGGCGTTTGCGACTGCTCTATAGGGGTTCTACAAGGGCTCCCTTGGAGCGGTTTAGGGCTTAGGGATTGGGTTCTCCTGTGGTTGCCCGAGGGCTCCTTAAAGGTTCTAGCAGCACAGCACTGTAGTTCCTTCTCTCGAACTCCTTATTTCTACTATACATTCTAACTATGAAGCTGGCGTCCACACCAAATCCGGCTTCGAGTTCCTACTGACACCAGCAAACATCAACGCCAACGCCAACACTGAAACCAACACCGCCGCCGCCGGCACCACTACTACCATCAGCAGCCGCGGCAGCAGCAGCAACAACAACAAAGCAATGGCTACAACCGCAACTAACTACAACAATGGAAACAACCACCATCATCACCACCGCAAGCAGCGACGCTTCAGGCACTGGCGTCCGAGAGTTCCGCAGTGACGTGGCCGCAATCAGCATCCTGCATAGTAGAACTACTGCTCAGAGTTGGGTCCAATGAGTACATCGCTTGGGAGAGAAGCCTTCCCTACTTTTGTTCGATCCTGCCCGTGTTCTCCCTACCAAAAGATTGGTTGCAGTAGTTTAACTCTAGCATTGAACCTTCCAACTCTATCCCCGAGGCCCAACAACCCTTGAATCCCTGCCCATCTAAGTTTGACCCACGCGCCCTTCCAAGGCCTTTGAAAGCACCCCTTCGGAACCCTAAATCCTAACCCTTGAACTCTAAAAACCCCAAACCCAAAACCTTTAAATGGCTCAATCTTAGTGGCCCAAGCATGGTCAGCGCTACAAAATTAGCATGTTCCCATATCTGAAAGATGCCTTGAGCTAGAATAAGTGGCTCCCAGCAACTTGACACCAATGTTCTCCAAATTAGGGTCCCTGTTTAGGACCCGAAGTAGTACGGCACCCTCACTTAGGGAACTACCCAGATGACTCGAGATGCTAGCCGCTAACCCTCAAAAATGTGTTCTAACCCTAAACCCCATACCGTAACTCTTATAAACTCCAAATGCAACACAAAGAAAGACACAATCGGCTACACCCAGACCCTTTCGCAATAGAAACGAACACACTCAGCCCTAGAAGCCCTAAGCCCAGACCCTTATGCGAAGAGCAGTCCCCTAACCCTAAGCCCGAACCGCCCTAACCCCCAAACCCTAAACCCTAAACCTGGGCCCTAATCACCCTGATCCCAAACCCTGAAGCCAAAAAGC